TATCTAATTGCAGAACTACTAACTCGGGTATGTGACGTATCACTTAAATCAGCCTTTGTACCAGATGACTGACAAATAGCAAATGTGATGCCGATTTTTAAAGAAGGTTCCAGAGGTGATCCTGGCAATTACAGCCCAGTGAGCCTAACTTCGGAGCCAGGCGAATAGGTTGAAATGATAATAAAGAACAGAATCATCCCTCACCAATCTAGTAGAATTCATTGAGGAGGTCAACAGACATCTGGACAAGGGTGATCCAGTGGCTATAGTGTATTTGGGCTTTCAGAAAGCTTTTGACAAGGTCCCTCACCAAAGCCTCTTAAGAAAAGTCACATGTATTCAAAATAGACTTTGGAGAGAAGAAATGTTATGATATAAAAAGTCCAAATGAATAGAGATGCAGAGACTATTTTCACAAAGGGAAAATTATTACAAGCTGCTACAAGCCATACTGACGTAAGGTTGTAGAAAAAATTATTAATTATTTCATGAACTGAGAAAAAATTTGTGATTAAATAATTATGGAGTCATAGATTTTAAGGCAAGAAGAGACCATTCTGATCACCTGCTCTGAACCCTTTTCAATCTGTTAACAACCTTTTTGAAGTGTGGACACCGGACCTAGAAACAGTGCCCAATGATGGTCTCTCCAAGCTTCACACCTCTCTATTTCCACTCCCTATTCCCCTGCTTGTACATTCAAGGAGGTCACTTGTTGTCTCCATCACCACACTGCAGTGGGACCTCATGTACAGCTGGTTACACATCATCACTCTGAGTTCTCTTTTGAGTCAGTGCTTTCTAAAACAGAGCCCCCCATCCTGTAAGTATGATCTACGGCCTTGGTTCCTCGATGTAGGACCTCGCATTTAGTTGTAATCAACTGTACGTTGCTCAAGTGAACCCAGTTTAGCAAGCGATTGAGATCGTTTTATAGGACTGCCCTGTCCTAATCATTACTTGCCTCTCTGCCAAAACATATGTCCCCCAGACTGAAATCTCCCATGAGAACAGAGTTACACAATAGAGAATCTCTCACAATGCAATTGCACCAGGGGAGAGAACTATGGCTCTGTGTGTAACCCGAGCACCCCTGATTTTTGGAATACTCAGTGCTTTCTACACATCATTTTTTTGTCTTTTGATGGAATTAAATAGTTCTCTTCTAAATGACCAGCCTCACTCTGCTCTCACTAATACGGGTGTAAATCCAGAATCATTCCAGGTTTACACAAGTGTAACTGACAGCAGATTTCGCCCCAAGCTTTACATTTACTTTAACAATCTCCTATTTAGAAAGATCCTTGATTAGCTTTAATCTAAACTGCCCCAGCTCACCTGAACCCTGGCTGCGTCTCCTTCCCTCAGCACATGCTGAAGTCACACACAAACTGCAGGACTCTGCACTCAGCCGGGATCAACTGGGTGAGAGTATTTATACCTCCTAATGACCCCCTGCTGACTTTACTCCCCAGGTGGGAGGTGAGAGACTTGGGTCTCTATAGAGGTATGTTTGGTGGGGGCTGGACTCGACCTGTTCAGGGGGGCCGGGTGTACAGTGCTAAAATAATATGAGATCTGAGCTGTGTTCTATTTCCAGAAATAAAAAGTAAAATGCGGTCGTAAATAATTTGTATTTTATATTAGAGGGAAAAACCAAGAAGAAAAAAATCAAACAAAAAATGTCCAGAGGAAGCGTGAGAGCGAAGACTCATAAAATATTTAAACAAGTCACGTAACTGAACCCTTCTAGTATCTCTGTGCATCAGAGCGTTTGAAATCTACGTTCGCTTGCTTCCAGGCTCTCTGCCTAGGATTCATATAAATGCTACTGTCTCTCCTCTCCAGGGCTATACCCCACGTGAGCACTTTTACTTGCTTGCTTTATGAAATGAAGATTTAAGCTAGTTCAATAAACTCTTTAGGAAACTTCTGACTACAAGCAGTGACTGAATGGCCATCCAACACGAGTGGCTAAGATGACACCTCTCTCACTATAAAACGTTTATGATCTCCCTGTCTGTTTACCCAGAACCCATAACTTAGTTTTACAGCTTCTACTTTGCTTCTAAACATGTATACTAGTTTTCTTTATATTATGTGTGAAAGACAATGTGAATTCAGGTGATTTCTGCCTTACACAGAGTATCATAGAATCATAGAATCATAGAATATCAGGAGGTCATCTAGTCCAATGCCCTGCTCAAAGCAGGACCAGTTCACAACTAAATCATCCCAGCCAGGGCTTTGTCAAGCCTGACCTTAAAAACCTCTAAGGAAGGAGATTCCACCACCTCCCTAGGTAACACATTCCAGTGCTTCACCACCCTCCTAGTGAAATAGTGTTTCCTAATATCCAACCTAGACCTCCCCAACTGCAACTTGAGACCATTGCTCCTTGTTCTGTCATCTGCTACCACTGAGAACAGCCTAGCTCCATCCTCTTTGGAACCCCCCTTCAGGTAGTTGAAAGGAGCTATCAAATCCCCCCTCATTCTTCTCTTCTGCAGACTAAACAATCCCAGTTCCCTCAGCCTCTCCTCATAAGTCATGTGCTCCAGCCCCCTAATCATTTTTGTTGCCCTCCGCTGGACTCTTTCCAATTTTTCCACAGTTTGGAGTACTATGTGGGTGCTGCCCCCCCAAACTGCATACATTGACAAGGTCATGGCCAAGTTCATCTTCCGGTCAGCAGCGCTAAGCTCGTGTAGGGGACGGTGTATGGCTCACTGTGAGTCAAAGGTGGAGTTCCCATCCCAGCGTACACAAAGCCCCCAGAAACATGCAGTCTAAGTTACTCAGAAAACCTCTCCTGCATCCTCTGCTTCCTGATCACTCAGCAGCCCCCTCCTGGACAGCCTAGAAGCTCTTCCCTCGGAACAAGAGAAGCACTTGTCATGAATCTGTTGATCTTCACACCATACACAATGAGGTTCATAATGGGAGGAAAGAGGAGGTAGAAATTGGCCATCAGGATATGTATGTGTGGGGCTACTGGGTGGCTGAACCTGTGAATTATTGAGGAGAGAACCACTGGTGTGTAGACCACTAAGATGGCGCAAAGGTTGGAAACAGGTGCCGAAAGCCTTGAAATAAACACATAAACTGAGTACACACGGAGACTGCAGGGCGGATGCAGGGGGATAGCATGGGAAGGCCGCGGTGAGCATACTGTGTGTAGGTGATCTGGAGGAAAAAGAGGCCATTTCTGCAGGGGATCATACAGGTCAGCACTGACCGCTTTGTTTCAGGTGCTTTGCTCTGCCAGCCAGTAAAAATCAGAACAGTAGAACCAGGAAACCCAGACCTCACTGACTAGGCAGTCACATATGAATTCCCAGACATATTCGGAGACACAGGATTTTTGCCTGAACGTGGTGAAATACAAAGCTCGTGTTGCATGCCTTGACTGAGGCCCGGTGATTTCCTTAGGGTTCTGTCTGTAGAACATGCTTCGGAATTCAGAAATCTAGAGAAGAGGGGATGTGGAGAATGCACTAAATTAGCCGGGAACCTCTCAGAAGAGTGTCTCCAATCCACTCACCAGGCGCTCAGAACAATTCAGAGCAGCGTTTTGTTGTTCTGATGTTACCAAGTTCCATAAAAAACCCTCGTCGGGTCTGAAATCCCTTATTTCGTTTTCAAAAGAGAAGATGCCATCTTGTACGTAATTCAACCGTGTACCACCAGACACTGCCCTCTAGAGTTAAGCTGGTGTCAGTGTTTAGTGGGCACAAGGGGGTTGTAATAGTCTCTGCTGAGGTTCGGCCCTCAGCAGGGCTGTGGGGTATCCCACCGCCTCGCTCTGGTCCGCCGTCAGTCCTGGCCCAGCGGCAGTCTGG